TATTCCTGAACAGCAACTGGAAAAATAATTATCCTCTAGGGGCTCTTCATAGACCTATGAAAAGTTTTTGATACAGTAGATCACTAAACTACTTTATAACTGTCAGGGACTACTACAAGTGCCAGATAAATTGTCAGTGGACTATACAAGTACAGGTCGGTCATCACTAATCCATGCAATCAGTATCAATGTATGTCAAAGGCCTAAAATCTGGAACACCCTACCTGGAAACTCTAGAATGCAGAAACATTCATAACTTCAAAACTACCATTAGAAAAAATTCTGATCTCCCTGATACACCCGTCAAACATTACACGGAATTACCACCTGGTGGTTCACACACTCACCACTCACCCATTTGTCCATAAACAGAAATTTCAATTCAATCTTAAAAATAATGAATCCTAACTAGTCATAAGTTGGCCTGTGATACTCCATACTGAAACTATGTATTGTGCCAAAACAAATGCTCTATTCACATGCAAACTCACAAACTATGTATTTTGCGTTCACTTAGCCCATAATACCAAACTTACCTCATAATTGGTAATATTTTAAAGTTAGAATTAATCTTAAGTCTGCCCGAAATGCCGAGCCATGCAGGTGTTCTAAGTGGTCCCTCTGTAATTAGTATTTTATACATGAAAACAACACAATAACCAAATTCTGTAAGCTCAGCATGGTAATCCTTTAGAGAATAAACTTTGAATTAGAATCAGTAATCCGGCATTAAGTTTCAGCTAGCATAATTTAAATTTCTTCATTATATGACTGAAATTGTGTGTGGTTGTAAATCCGCAGCAAGCAAGCCAGTGGAGGAGGGAGCAGATGATGAAAATGAGGTAGATGTAGCAGAAAGTCTCTCTATTGATAGGTTAATTAAGTGTATTCTAAACCTAACCACTCAGTAAACCAGCACACTACAGGTTCCCAATGATGCCGGATTAGTGATGGCTGACCTGTACTATATAAAAATGATTGACTATATCAAGGGCAAAAGTGTTTCTTCACCTTGTTGTCCTGTTCACCTAGCAGAAAATAGGACCTAGGTGTTAGGCCGACTGGGGGGACATAGAGTGAAGGACCCCAACTGAATAAGTTACAGTCCTTGATGATGCACTGACTTTCTTAGGTTATCTTGTGGCTAAACCTCCGGGGTTTAAAATCCGAATGAAATCTTCTCTATCTTATTCACTTATTTGGACTATATAACTGAGGGACTAGTACTCAGGATTATATAATACTATTTGGGATCTCTAGAAGACTATACAGTGAACTCCAAGTTTTGTCTGCCCCGGAGTATCATATGCTTCCGATTTTTAGAACCATTTTTTCAGCTAAATTTTGTCCCAAGTTTCGCACTGTAAGGCCTGTCTAACAGGATCACAGATCCCCACAACATCTTATTAAAAAATACAATTTTGGTGACCCATTTTCATACCATTTTTCAATCCAAATTATGCAATTAAGTTGTATACAATGGACTAGATTCCTAAAATTTACTTTCTTTGTAAGGGCAGTGTTTGTATTAACATAACTGACCAACTCCCAAAATAACTCTTCAGCTATAAAAACATATAACTATGTTCTTTCTTCTTTAAACACACGGGCCCGTATCCCACCGGGCAGGGTGGCCCAAAGGGAAAAAACGAAAGATTCTCCTTTTCATTTGGGAAATATATACAGGAGAAAGGGTTACTATCCCCTTTGCTCCCGGCATTTTTAGTTGCCTCTTACAACACGTATGGCTTACGGAGGAAGAATTCTGTTCCACTTCCCCATGAAGGTAAGAGGAAATAAACAAGAACAAGAACTAGAAAGAAAATAGAAGAAAACCCAGAGGGGTGTTGGTGTATATTATATGCTTTGTAATGTATGTGTAGTGTGCCCTAAGTGCAAGTAGAAGTAGCAAGACATACCGAAATCTTGCATGTTTATGAGACAGACAAGACACACCAGCAATCCTACCATCATGTAAAACAATTACAGGTTTTCATTGTACACTCACTTGGCAGGACAGTAGTACCTCCCTGGGCGGTTGCTGTTTACCAACCTACTACCTAGGATATAACTATGTATATGACTTAATATAAATCACTAATATAAAATGACAAATATTTCAAGTAACATCTACCCAACAACTCTCTTCAATTACAAATTAACACAAGTTATATAGTATCTGCCCCTTAAAGGAGGGGTGGAGGCATTAGCAGTTTTGAGGTGTAGTATCAGTGCCACTTTGGCAAGACTGTGATGGTAAAAGCATTTCTTCTTTGTTTGGGTCACTACCTTGATGGGAAACAGACAGTTTCTGGAAACAAAATTTATAAAGCATTTATATGACACTATACTCGAGTGTCATTGCAAAGATCTAATGTGGATTGCATCAAACAACCCAGTTACTACACGAGATGGATTTAATAAAAATATAATTTCTGACAAAGATTGAAGATCTATTCAATAAAATGCTTTTAACTTCCCCCAACATCCCTCTAGCTTAACCAACAGAGCCCACTGAGGTTACCATGATTATTAACAATCTAAATAACAAATCAAGGAATGTAACCCAAATGCCCCCATACTGTATAAACGAGTGGCTCAAATCCTTTCACCCACCATTGCAAATTTCTCTTCAACAAATCGCTAGATACCAACACTTTCCCGGCATTACTCAAGCTAGTAAGGATTACACCAATATACAAAGGTGGTGACCCAACAAACAATTATAGGCCAATCAAGCTTGCCTTTATTTCCCAAATCTTCAAGAAACTCGTACACAAAAGGTTACATTCCTTCATAACATCACAAGCATCCTAACCCCCGCCAGTTTGGCTTCAGGAGAAACAAAAGCACAATTGATGAAATAATAAAAAAGCTAGACCTACTTTAACACAGCACGGATAAAAATGAATACCCACTTGGACCCTTTATTGCCTTAAGAAAGCTTTTGATACAGAAGATCACAGCATCCTACTCCTCAAGCTTAATCAATACAGTACAAGAGGCATGTGCTCGCATTTATCAAGTCCTACCTCACTAAGAGAAAGCAATACACCTGTCAATGACATAACCTCCTCGACAAAACCCCCTGGACACTGGTGTACCACAGGGTAGCATTCTTGGCCCCCTCCTTTTCCTTTATACATCAATGATCTTCCAAGAGTATCACAACAACTTACATTTATTCTCTTTGCTGAGAACACAACTTTTGTCATCTCTCTCCAAATTTAGCCTCACTCAACACTATTGCTAACAAGAACTCACGAAAATAGCAACTTGGCTGACTGTCAAACTCATACTAAATATAGACAAAACCTTTTACATTATGTTTGGGAGTAGGCAAGTGAGGACCAACTAAATATGCTTAACATCCTTATTGCTAAACATAATGAGGGAAAATTCCTGGGTCTGCACCTTGACAGCAACCTAAAATTCGACACCATATCAACAATTAACAAAAAGGTTTCTAAAGCAGTTGTCATCCTCTCAAAGATATGTTACTATGTATCACAAACAGCACTACTTACACTATACTGACCTACCCATATTTGTGCCTGAGGTTCCACAAGGACAAACACCTAAATCAATGTAACAACAAAAAGCTGCAATGCAATTATCACACAATCTACTGCTAGACAACCCTCCCCTCACTCTTCAAAGACCTATACCTACACACTATACAAACATAAATTCATACTATTGTGCAACCTACATTTACAGAACAATAAATTCTAATATAAATCCCGACTGAAACACTATTGACAGTTGCAACAGGACTCACAGACACACACTAGGCACAAAAACCTCTATGACATCCCTGCATAAGGCTAAATCTTTTTAAAAACTCATTATACATAAAGGATCCAAAATTGGATCTCTATGCCAGAAATCTCCAGAACCATGGTTCAGCATTTTTAAAACTATAGTTTGAAACACCTTATCTCCTTAACCTATCCCAGCATCATAAAACATATGTAAAAACTGTACAGGCATTTGCTCAATATCATGAACATAGGTAATCTTTTCATCAATATATACTTGTCTCAATATCTGTATTCATCTCAAATATTAATCACTCCATTGTATCCACCTAAGGTTAATATATAAAAAACGTATGTCTTCTCTACAAGACTTATTAAAGTCATATAGCATGACTTAATAGAATACTCAATCTCTTGTATTCATGTAACTATCTAATGACCAATATTACTCTTTTGCCTTATTAATCTTGCATATTTGATAAAAGTTTTTTTTCAAAAA